TCCGATGTCTTCTGCACCCACTTCACCTTGGAAATTGGACTGACCTGTCCGCCAATGGCTCATATTCAATGCAGTATTTCAGGAGGCAACCGTGAATGCCATTATCTACTGGGATAACACAATTCATATATGCACTTCGTAATCTCCCACATCATTTGGCCTGTCAGCTGAAGCAACCCGTCCCCCTCGGAAGCTAAAGCGAACGAGGCGCAACATGCATAATAGTGGGGACATGGGGGTTGTAAGGCAGTGCACTGGGGTTTGTGGGAGCTGAGAAAAACGAGCTACTGTAATACAGAATGGTAACGTCAAATCAGGATCAAATGATATCGCCTTGTCTACCCCGTAGGTCTCAGCTCTGTCTTGCACGGTTAGTCTGACCGAACAGCACCGCCAATCAACGTCGCGGGACAAACCCCAGAAGGCCATTGGAGATTTTTTCTACTCCGTGCGTTCCATTGTTATTGTTAGTTATTACTACTCCGTATTTTCTCCAAGAAAACATTGTTTTTGCAGAGTCTGAACATGTCGCAGATCTTCGGACCCATTCAGCCGCTGTCATTGCTCCAATCACAGTGTGGGGTTTAGAACACATCATCCTGCGAAGCTACTAAATTAAACCATTGAATGTGCTAATATAGCTCCTGTCTATCAATATAGCTAGCCAATCGTATTCCGGGTTATCCGCCAGTCATTTAATAAGTGGCCTAGGCAAAAATGCCATAAGATTTGACAGGGGATAGTCCGTATAGCATGTGCGAATCACAGATATCTAATTGCTCATAACAGCCCGGAGCCAGTGGGGCGTTCCTCTTCACCCAGGTCCACCTTGCGCTAAGAATGACCACGAATGAGACGCACCTGAACTTTTAGAATGTGAGGTGCATTCAGCCGTACGCTCTGCTCGGCTGATGGCTTTCGGCTTACTCCGTGATTCCCACGGGAGGCTTATAATAATGTATCCTATCCCATTTCCGCCGAAATGATCGCATGATGATTCACTTCTTCTTTTCCTAACTACCCTAACTACCTGTGATTATTGTGCTGCTCCTTTGCTGCTTCCCCTATCCCCTATAACTATACCGACTTAGGGTTGTTCCTTAGGTCCCTTGATACTTCAGCCTACCCAACTCTTCTTAACATATACCGGTAAGCTACCAATTGCTAAATTATTGATTATTATTGATTGTTTTCCTTTTGTTTTGACTTCTACTTTGTACTGCTCGGCCCTGGCTCAAGGTCTTCTAAAACCTTTAATCGCAAAATATAACCCCCGCTGAAATCTATGGCATTGAAGTTAACGGGTTAATTACAGTTCGCACTCGACTTCCTGTACTATTCCATTGTATTATATCGTCAATTCACCATGACTGAAGAATCCAATTCCAGCAGCAAACTTGCTCAGATTGAGCAAGTTGTGACTGCAGCCTTGCGGCCCTTGCCCACTCAAACTGGCGACGGCAGCTATGTACAAGAGCCGACTGTGACGGGCCTTGCTAAGGACCTGCTCCATTTTGACCTGAAAGATGCCAAAACTTTGGCGGAGGTTGCCAAAACTGCCGTGACCGGGGAAGCTGTGAATGATAGAGATTATATCATGGAGCGCGTGATTCAGGTTTGTGGTTCAGCGAGGAATTGGCTATGTACTCACTCTAATTCCTTTACAGCTTGCTGCTGGCTTACCTTCGACATCTCGAAATGGCAAGGAAGTGACCAATACCTTCCTGGCCCAGTTGTGGGGTGATCTGGAACACCCGCCTATCTCGTGAGTCATCTTAGTCTGTGTGGAAAATGCCGGGCAGTGACTGACTAGTGATGCAGCTATCTTGGACGCGATGCGGCATACCGGAAGGCTGATGGATCTGGAAACGTAGGAATTCTCCCCTTACAGTTTGATAATATCTGCTAAACAGCCCTAGAACACTTTCTGGCCTCAGCTTGGTGCTGCTGGCACTCCATATGCACGGTCTGTTCGACCAAAGACTATGCAGCCTGCTGCTCTTCCTGAACCAGAGGCTCTTTTCGATAGTCTCTTGGCCCGGAAGGATTTCAAGGAGCACCCGAACAAGATTTCTAGCGTGCTATTCTATCTTGCCTCGATTATCATCCACGGTAGGTTATTGTCTATTGGTTGAGATCTATGCAATGAGAGACGGCAGAATCATCGAGGCTAACAGTTGTTAGACTTGTTCCAAACGGATCCCAGGGACCAAACAAAATCGTTGACATCCTCATACTTGGACTTGTCTCCCCTTTACGGTAATAACCAGAAAGAACAGGATACAGTCAGAACATTCAAGGATGGAAAGTTGAAACCCGACTGCTTTTCCACCAAGCGGGTTTTGGGATTTCCTCCGGGAGTTGGCGTCCTTCTCATCATGTTCAACCGTTTCCACAACTCGGTTGTCACCCAATTGGCAGCTATAAATGAATGTGGCCGTTTTACGAAGCCGGATGAGTCGAATGCTGAAGCTTATGCCACCTGGGATAATGATCTCTTCCAGACCGCAAGACTGGTTACTTGTGGTCTTTATGTTAACATCATCCTAAAGGACTATGTCCGGACCATCCTCAACATCAACCGAACTGACAGTGTGTGGAGTTTGGATCCCCGTGCCGAAATAAAGGATGGCTTGCTCGGCGAGGCGCCTGCCCAGGCTACCGGAAATCAAGTATCTGCCGAATTCAATCTTGTTTATCGCTGGCATTCTTGTGTCTCGGCTCGGGACGACAAATGGTCAGAGGATCTTTATAAAGAGCTATTTAATGGACAAGATCCCAAGCAGCTTAGCTTGCAGGAATTCACAGGGGGTCTTCGCCAATGGGAATCAAAGCTCCCAGCAGATCCTCAAGAACGTCCTTTCGCCAACTTGCAACGCCAAGCAGACGGAAAATTCGCAGATAATGATTTGGTCAAGATCTTTGAGGAGGGTGTTGAGGACCCTGCTGGAGCTTTCGGTGCTTTGAATGTGCCAGAGGTTTTCAGAGGCGTTGAAGTTCTCGGCATCAAGCAGGCACGCTCTTGGAATTTGGCTACCTTGAACGAATTCCGTCAGTACTTTGGTTTGGCTTCTTATCAGACCTTTGAAGAGATCAACTCAGACCCATACGTTGCGGACCAGCTTAAGCATTTCTATGACCACCCCGACCTTGTTGAGTTGTACCCGGGCCTCATTCTCGAAGAGGCCAAACAGGCTATGACCCCGGGTAGTGGTCTATGCACCAATTTCACAACCTCCAGGGCCATTCTCTCAGACGCAGTTGCTTTGGTTCGTGGGGATCGCTTCTATACTGTCGACTTCACACCGAAGCATCTTACAAACTGGGCATACAATGAGATTAAGAATGACGTCTCCGTTGACGGAGGTCAGGTCTTCTACAAACTGGTCCTGAAGGCTTTCCCCAACCATTTCCGCGGTGACTCTGTTTACGCACACTTCCCGATGGTTGTCCCCGACGAGAACAAGAAGATCCTGACCAGCCTTGGTAAGGCTAAAATTTATAGTTTTGACCGACCGTTTTATAAAGCTCCGGCCCTCTTCATCAACTCCCACTCTGCTTGTGAAAAGATCCTGAAAGACCAAGAAGGATTTAAGGTAGTGTGGGGTGAGAAGATTCAATTTTTGATGGAGAATAGCGGCCGTCCTTATGGCCGAGACTTTGCCTTGTCGGGTGATCTCCCTGCTAACGCGGCTTCTCGAAAGATGCTTGGTGCTGCTCTACATCGTGACAAATGGGAATCAGAAGTGAAGGCTTTCTACGAGGATATTACTCTGAAACTCCTCGAACGAAACTCTTACAAGGTTGCTGGCGTCAATCAGGTCGACATCGTTCGTGATGTTGCTGTTCTCGCCCAAGTGCACTTCTGTGCCAACGTCTTCTCCCTGTCTCTCAAAACAGAGTCAAACCCAAGAGGCGTGTTCAGCGAGCAGGAGTTGTACCAGATTCTGGCCGTGATCTTCGCTTCTATTTTCTACGATGTTGACGTGTCCAAGTCTTTCCAACTTTGCCAGACTGCTCGTAATGTTGCACAGCAGCTGGGTGAGTTGACGCTAGCTAACGTCGAACTCGTTGCTAAGACTGGATTCATTTCCAACCTGGTCAGCCGCTTACACCGCCATGACATCTTGAGTGAATATGGTGTCCATATGATCCAACGCTTGCTCGATAGCCAGTTACCAGTTAAGGATGTTGTGTGGTCGCATATTCTTCCCACAGCTGGTGCTTTGGTTGCCAATCAAGGCCAGCTTTTCTCCCAGTGCATCGACTATTACCTCTCCGAAGAAGCGGCGGAGCATCTGGCTGAGATCCAGCGCTTGTCTAGGGAGGACACTCCCGAGGCCGACGAGCTTCTTGTGCGATAGTAAGTTTCTTCATATCCCAGCTAGGATGTAAGAGGCCATACTAATTATATATAGCTTTATGGAAGGAGCGAGACTCCGCTGCTCGGTGGCATTGCCACGCTTTGTCACTAAGCCAACGGTGGTCGAAGATAACGGTGAGAAGGTCACTTTGAAAGCTGGCCAGGAGATCATTTGCAACTTGGTAAGTCCTTTGGTCTCTTTTTTTCTCTCCCTCTCTTGGCATTCAGATACTAACCGATGGCACGAAATATAGGTTGTCGCAGGCCGCGATCCTGTTGCGTTCCCCGATCCCGACAAGGTCCGCCTTGACCGTGATATGAGCTTGTACACTCACTTTGGCTTCGGCCCTCATGAATGCCTTGGCGTTAAGATGTGCCCTCTTGCACTTTCCACTATGCTCAAGGTTCTTGGGCGACTGGATAATGTCCGTCGCGCCCCCGGGCCCCAAGGCCATTTGAAGAGGCTCGATGGACTGGGAGGAATCGCCATGTATATGGATGCCGAGCACAGTAGCTTCTCTCCGTTCCCTATGACGATGAAAATCCAATGGGACGGAGACCTGCCTGCCAGGAGGGAGTAAAGACTGTGTATGTGAGAATTTCAAACGATGTGAATTTTGTTTGGGAGATCTCTATAATGTTCAAGACTGGTTGTTTGTATAGCGCGCCTGCGTTTTTCTTTAGATGTGGTTCACCGCGCAGCAATAAAATTGGAGCGAGCTTTGAATCTGAAGTCCTGTCCCACGTACTTTTTTTTAAAAAAAAAAAGGTAGTTTCAGGGTATTTCTCTGAACGGAGTATAATCAAATCCAATAATCCCAAGGGTCGTCTTTTGTGCCTAAGATAGGTGGAAAGACAGTCGATGCCTCAGGCCTAGCGGGGGAAATCAGTCAGAGAGCCGCTCCGCCCTCCTGCCTTCTGCCGGCAAGACCAGCTTCTCTTCAACGTTGGCTCGTCCTTTCTCTCTTCTCTTTTATCACCCAACCCCCCTCCTGTCATCTTTTCCTTTTGACATACCCTTCTCACTACCTCTACGTCAGACTTTGAGGGATAACGACCTGCACCCGTTTTCCCTTATTTGACCGACTTCCCGATATCTCATCCTCTCAGCTCTCGAGTTGAGCTTTCTTACTCGAATTCCTTCACGATTGGTTGGTAAATTCGATTTAATATCTCTTTAGGTTGCCTTTTTATTGACAGTGAGACATTTCCCAGGTGTTAATCACGCCGAGTCGATTCGATTTTCGTTGAGGCAGCAAATCAGCACCAAAAACGTCATAAGGCATCTATCTTCGCGCTTCCTCCGCGACACCGGTCTTTACGACCTTCTCAATCCACACTCTCTAGGAGACAACCCTCCTGGAATTTCTCAACTCCCTCATGTTTGACGGGCCCACCGATCGTTATCATGGGGAGAATTAAGAAGGTAGCCAGCCAAAAGCATGAGGCTACAATCGTAAGTTACTCTCCGGCGGCCTGATGTGCAACCCAACTAAAAATTTTTCCTTCTATCACAGTCACCTTTTTTGCAAGAATTCATAGCGCGTGCCACAAGTCTTCCCGTTCCAGAGCTCCCGTCACTTCTCAACACATTCCCTAAGCTATGGCCGTTCCCACGTGGTGATCTCTACCATTGGATCAATGTCCTAGACCGATTCGACGAGATTCTAGCATCAGCCGTGGAGAAATACTTCCTGAATACTGGCCCTCAGACCCAGCTGTTCACCCGAAGTGTTTTGGAGGAATCATACTCGGCCGACGAGAGCAAGAAGCCATCAGAGGATGTTGATGCTAAACTAAATGCCCTAGGATACGGCCCTGAAGGAGATAGAGAGCTTGTGGAAGCAGTTCTTGATTTCTCTCGTCTTTTGCTCGAGAAATGTGGAAACCGCAGCCTGTACAGCAGCAGCGATCGCCTGGGTGATCTGTTGAATACCACCTCACTCTCTCTCCTACAATCTACATTGCGACTATCTCTTTGCTTAGCTCAACGATACCACTCTCGCCAGCGTGGCACCCATCAACAGTCCGTATTGCAGTCCCACTATGCTCTTGACCTTGAAAAGTTGCAGAAAATTGCAGCTCCTTTCCCGCGTCCAGTCATCGCTAGTAAAACACCATTTGCCGCATCTCCCGCTGTTTCAACTAAGGGGAAGGAAACTACAGCCCAGACCAAAGTCAACGCCAATGAAATGGTTTCCCTTGTGCGTGACGACGATGGATGGGAGGAATGGGGAGATGTTCGAGTTCTGTACTATCCCTCGGGCCCTGAACAGGGTAGAACGACTTCCGAATTTGGTCAACCAGAGCAGGGCTCCCACATTCCAACCACACCAACCCCACTGCGACGCAGTGCAACACACCCTACTCCTTCCAACCAGGGCTCGAATGGAGATGAATCACCGGCTATCGCTGGTGGGAAGGCAGAAGAGGCCACACGAGCGGGCAAAGTCCTAGAGCTTTCCCATTCGAAAATTTCAGCTGCAAAGGTGGAAGATCTTCTTGCGGCTAACTTGCCTCACCTACCACTTGAATCAAAATATGAGCTGCTTCAAAAGCTTCGAGTTGCCAAGGCGTTGACAGGGTCGCGTGCCACGCGAGAACAGATCCTTTCTATCAAGGCACTGGCAGTGACCAACCTGGCCCACGTCCAGCCGGAGAATACCTTCCAATCAAAGGTTCTCCAAACCGATCTAGAACAACCAAAGCGTCTTCAGCTTGCTTATCAGCTTGCTGAGGTGGTTCATCTTGGTGCTAGTGGTGACCTTGAGGTCTCCCGGTCTGTCCAAACTTTGGCGATCCAGGCACTGGATGCGTTGGCCAAGCACAAGGCTCGTGCCGTTGACGTCTGCGCGGCTTTGAGTGTCAATGTCAATCACGGAATTCTCATGTTCTTGACCCGTAAAATGGTCAATGAACTAGGCCCTGAGAACAACGACCCGGATGATGCCTACCACGATGAGTGGCGAGATGCTTTACTTGCACTCTTACGCACTCTCCCAAGCTCGAGCACACGTACACCGGAGACCTTAGTTGCAGCAGGTCTAATTCCTATGTTTGTTGACATCTTGAATCTGCGGACTGAAAAATCTCGCCGTGTTTATTCCCGCATCATGGAGTTCCTTGACACATTTGTGCATGCGGTCCGGGATGCATTGGGTACACTGACAACAGCAAAGGGCTTTGACGCCATGTCTGATTTGATTGACCACGAGACCAAGACCGCGTTTGAGAAGGTTAACCGCGGGGATGGGTTCCCTGCTCAATACAAGAACCCTTCGATTGATTATCAAATTCCTTACTTCCAGCAGCAGACCCTGCGCTGGATGTTCCGTTTCGTCAACCATATCATGCAGCACAATGGCGGAGGCTTTGATCGTGTTCTGCGAAACTTAATCGATTCGCCTCAGCTGTTGACTTCTCTTCGGCTTGTGTTCGAGAATGCTCGTGTGTTCGGCTCACATGTTTGGAGCAATGCTGTCAACATTCTCAGCAGCTTCATTCACAATGAGCCTACTAGTTATGCTGTCATCGCCGAGGCTGGCCTTAGCAAGAGCCTTCTTGCCGCTGTCATGGGCCGTGAACTAAAGGTGCTAGAGAAACCGCCGGCTGTGGAGCCCGAAGACCGCGATACTGAGGCTGAGACTGAGGCGGAAACCGCCGCCACCCAACCGCCTAGTGCTGAAGCCGCTATCCAGTCCGAGGAAAAGCAGAAGGATCGCGAGTATGCTATCGTCAGACCCCAGAACACCCCTCTCGCTCCAGGTATTATGCCCGCAGCTGATGCTCTTGCGTGTATCCCTGGTGCATTTGGAGCCATCTGCTTGAACTCCTCTGGTTTGGACCTCTTCCAGTCCTCCGATGCACTGGAAAGCTTCTTCGAAATCTTCGAGAACCCTGAGCATGTCAAGTGTCTGAAGGATGACGCAGAACTGGTTCGTTCATTAGGCACTACTTTTGATGAGCTTGTCCGACACCACCCGGCCTTGAAGACCTCTATTATGTCTGCTGTTCTTGTAATGGCTGCTCGTGTCAACATTCTGGGGCGAGTCAAGGCATGGGAGCTTGGTATGGGCACAAAGATGTGGACTCAAGACGCCGACGGCAAAACAACTCTTTTAGGAGATGTCTTTTCATTGTTCCGAGAGATCGGCATAGCTGTTGATGCACCCACAGACGACCCTGCCTCGTTTGGTGCTCCCCAGCTCAACGTCAACACTCTCCCTAACGGCGCTAAGCTTGTTGTTGGGGATCTGGATCATGTTCTTCCTTCGCCAGGCCCCGACTTCGAGCCTCAAGATAAGGATGCTCATGGTCTCTCGGCTACGGACTACCTGTTCCCAGCCTTGCGATTCCTGGGCGCTTTCTTCGAGAATCAGACGAACTGCACTTCCTTCATCCTCGCTGGCGGTACAGAGTTCTTGTTGGATCTTGCAACACTCCAAAGCTTGGCATTTGATTTCCACGGCACCAACGCTAACCAAGAGATCACCGTGCTTGTCCACATGCTCGCGGAAACGAAGCCTCACCTTGTTCTCCCGTCCCTCGTTCGACGCGCACAGGCTGCAGTGGATAATCTTTCGGCCTTTTGGACTGCGCCCACTGGATCGGGATTCTTTACGGAATTGATTAAGCCAGCAGACTCGAAAAAACCAGCCCTTGAACCTACGGCTGCTGCTAAATCTGGCACATTCTTCGTGAGGCACTTGAATGCCGTTCTTCTCCTCACTGACGTCCTTCGCGAGGTCTTCGCGTCACCTCTGTACCAAACTCGCCCTGGCCAATCTACCTCCATCTTTGGCCAAGCCAACCTTGCGGATCACTACTGTTCTCTAATCTCCTCATTGAGTAACCTTCTTGCGTCTTGCGTGTGGGAAGGAATTTTGCTGGAGAAGAACATCCCTGAGAAGTGGCTGAAAGCGACACAGGCCTCTGCTGAAAAGCATGGCTCTGGAAAGTCAAAGGCTACTCTGGTTACTGGGAACCCCCAGGAGCCTTCAGCAACGTCTGGCCCCCAGCCTCAACAGGAGAGCGCTAGCGCGCCAGAGACTGCTCCGGCTCAGCCGGGCCAGGGCCCGAACGAAGACGACACTGAAGTTGATGAACAGTGTCCTGCTTTCAAGAATGCGCGTACGCTTCGCTACCTCCTAAGCGCTCTGCCAACATCGATTACGGGTTTCTTGCACAACCTCGGACTCGGTATTATTGGCAAGAGACGCACAGATCCGCTCCAGAAACAGAAGGCGAATGCTATCCTGGTCTCAGACGCCATTGCTGAAGGTATTCTTCGTCAATTGCAGTTCAACCCTGCCAATTCGAGTGACAGCCCCAAGCACCGATTCGCATATCTCATTGTCATTCTTTCCCACTTCTCGCACCTTCTCTATGAAGTCTCAACAGACCGTCCCAGTCCCAACTACTTGACTTCAGTTCTTGTTTCATTCAATAAGAACAACGGCCTCAAGGTGTTGAAGGACATTTGTGACGTCTTCTTGGGCGACATCAAGTCCCTCCCATCTGCGGAGTCCATTCCGGACCAGGATAAAGAGCTTGCTGACCGGCTTGCATCTGGGTATGGTGGAATTAAGATCATTCTTGGGTTATTCGCAGACCTCACCTCTGGGAAATTCATCGTGGACTCTAGCCAAACACAAGCCTTGACTTCTCACCCTGAACGAGACCGAGACCGTCCCGATTACTTCCAGCCAGGTCAACTCTTGGTGGAACTTCGCATGGAGATTTTACCCATGGCCAAAGACATGTGGAACTCGGACTTTGCGACTCAGTCTTCGAGTCCAATTGTCCGATTGTTGATTGATATCATGCGGTGCTCCTTGGATGGAGAATACGAGGCTGGCGCGGCTCGCAAAGCAGATACCCCGCCTATCTTGGTAGAGATGCCCAAGAAACCATTTGTCGTCCACACGGAACGAGCAGCTGCCTTGCTCGAGAAAGGGTACATGGATGTTGATCTCAACAAAGAAGCCCTCTATCGTTGCAACAATCTTTTGATGGCGGCCGAAGAGTACTGCAAGGCGCAGCAGTGG